CTCAGGCATCCGCTGTAGTGAGTTGCCTGTCTGGGATCGCGCTGAGGTCTTTCTCAGTCCAAAGTCCGGACTTTCTGTGGCTCCGGAGTCAGCGTTCCTCCTCTTTCCCTCCGCCGCATTGTCTGATGAAACCCCGACTATCTTTCTGTTAAGTGACCCCTTGAAAAGAAATGTTTGTCATAATTAACGTGATGGATGCCAGAGACACGCCAGCTTTTTACAATAAATTAGATTGTTTCCACTTTTCTGCAATCGTCTCTCTGCTTCCTGGCTGCGCCCTGGAGGTCCTGTGTGGACAGGATCTGCGATCCCTTTTGCCCAATGGAAACCTTTGTTGGGAGGAGTCCCTTACTTTGGCAGGCAGCTATGCAGAGCAGCCATCTTTCTCCTCCTCAGCGATCTTTCTAAAGAGAGATCTTCTTTTCTCCTCAGGTCCAGACTGTTATTTGAGTCTCACAGAAGCCAACATGGAGGACAAAAGTTCTGTTCCTGTCACCCAAGGCTTTCATCACACAAGACATAGGCTCTCTGATCTGAGCCGTCTTGTATCCATAGAATCTGCTACACTTCCGGGGGCCAGCCAGAGTCAGTGTCCACACGCCGTCTGTGTGAGAATAACCCTGTTTCCCCAGCTATAATCCCACAAGAGAAACTCCATCCAAAACATGCTAAAGAGAGAGCCTGCAGGTGGTCAGGGAAGCGTGCAGTAATCCTTGGTTGATGAATTTAGGATCCTTCTGAGATCTCCAGGCTGCTGTTTCGGTCTAGATGCTGCAACTTCCGCCATCTGAGACCCCCACGACGCCTCATGTTAATTCATCTCCAGACAAAGTAGACGTATTACTGCCTCGCCAATAAAAAAGGGTTCCTGTCTAGGATGGAAACCTTGAGAACAAAGCTGGAATAACGTTCAAAAGAACAAGTGTCTGGAAAATTGCAAAGTCGTACACACCGTGCAAGCTCTTGTCTATCTGTGGATATTTTGAACGCCTACCCCGTTTTTACTTCTATGTTATATATAACCAAGAAAACAGACCTTCTGACTTTAATTTCTGGTAAACAAAAGAGTTGTTTATCTAACATCTGGCAAAACAAAAACACCTGTGAATTGTGTTTTGTTTTGTTACTTCATCAAGTAAGTGTGTCTATCTTAGGAATTAACCATTTGATAAAAATCCAAAGAATAGGCTTTTAGGGCATATTTTTTGTTGCTATTCATCAGCTCTGCTATTATAACATGAAACATGAGGAGCGTGTAAATTAATGAGCATGGTTGTGTTCAAATTAAACTTTATTTGTAAAAGCAAACAGTGGGCCAGATTCAGTCTATGGGCTATGGTTTGCCTTCCCCGGTATAAAGTATTTACAATCTAAGCTGTGGACAGATGCATTTACAGTCTAAGAATGGACAAATGAATTCTTGAACACAAACCATTTGCTTATGATTAGAGGAAATACAGAACACAATACCTGCTAGGTTTTGGGCTAAAGCTAGCAAGCATTGTCTAATTGTCTACTGTCTAATTAGGTCCCTGTTTTGTGGCTTGAGAAGCTAGACTCAGAAACCTTAAGTAACTTACTGAAGAGCACAGAACAAAGTTAACAGAGCCCAGCGTCTTTTTTCCAGAGAGTTGCAGTGTGCTGCAACCCAGCACTGCAGGTCAGTGGTTCTCAACTTGGGGGTCATGACCCCCTAGGGTCAAACAACCCTTTCTCAGGGTTGCCTAAGCCTATCAAAAAACCCAGATGTTTACATCACGATTCATTAACAGTAGCAAGATCTCAGCTACCAAGTAGCAATGAGAATGATTTTACATGATTGGGGGCCACACAACAGGAGGAACTGTATTAAAGGGTCACAGCATTAGGAAGGTTGAGAGTCGCTGCTCTAAGTGGCATCTATGGAGAGTCGCTTAGGCAACCTAGTGCTCACGACTCCTGGCGTTCTTTATGTCTTCCTCGGTGTTGAGGCGTGGGTGTGCACAGTCTCCCGGAGCCTGCATCCGGACCTCAGTCCTGCTGTTTGCCACAGCATCCAGACTGGTCTCTGGACCACATCACATCTGCTAAACAAGCATGATGATTTTACTACCCCATAAAGCGGTGTGCAGAGTATGTGAAATGCTAGACCAGTGTATGATGTCTGTTGCTGTTCCAAAACAAAAGGGGCATCCTGGACAAAAGAGGTGCCTCATGCATGTGGTGACTGACAAGACCTGTATTCTGAGAGAACAAGAGGGAGGAAGAAGGGAAGAGAACAGGAATACTAGCAGGGAAGTTGATCAAGGAGATAATATGTAGACCATAAATGAATGACAAGAACGTGGTAAAGGCAGTGCTTTGTGTGTGGCTGTATGTACTCATGTGTGTTCAGGTGCATGCACACATGTGTATGTGTACATACAGAGGCCAGAGGTCAGTGCTGGAGGTTGTTCATCAGCACCCATCCACATTGTCTTTTTGAGACAAGGTCTCTCACTGGTTTTGAGCCTGCCCAGTAAGCGATGCTGGTTGGCCAGAGAGCCCCAGGAATCCTCTTGTCTCTGCCCTTCCACTTCTGCGATTACAAGTATGTGTCATTATTTCTAGTATTTCATATGTGTGCTAAGGATTGAACTCAAGTCCTCACACTTGTACAGCAAGCACATTACCAATGGAGCCATTCCCCTGCTTCAGAGCAGGGCTTGGAGATACTATATACAGGTTAAAGAAAGAATGGCTGTTCTCATAATCCCATTTATCACAAAGCAAATTTAGCTTCCCACTCCCTGTCATTTCGCATCTATCTTTTTTCCTCCCGTGTGTTTTGGAGACATGGCATGTGTCTCCCAGCGTTCTCTGTAAGTGCTGAAATAATAATCCTTCAAACTTCACCCAAGATCAGCGAAGGGAGACCTGTTTTGTTTTACGACTTCCAAGTGCCCCAGGAAAGACCCGCGGCGCCTCCAGTGCTTTCAGGCTGTCCTCTTGCTCTCCTGCTCTGGGGTGCTCGGGCTTCCCACTCAGACTCCCTTAGTGCTTCCTTGGGCTCCTGTGGCTCGTCTGTGATACTCTGCTGCAGGGTGTAGGAACCAACTAGACACCGCTGTCATTCCCCGTGGTCCACAAGGTCCAAGGCAGCTGTGTCTAACACACTAAAATGCTTAGGGTCATGCAAGAGAATTTCCGTGTGAAAAGGGGATGCTGCGACCACGTGCCTGACAATGCTATGCCCAGGATCCATCCATTCAGTGCCTCTGTCCTGAAACCCTAACAAGCTGCTGTGACAAAGGCAAAAGTGGCCAAAGTCAGCACGGTGAAAACATTGTGAGCTCTGGGAAGGCAGCACTGTATCTGTGGTACTCATTACTGTCCCTTCTTCACCCGTGACAGCGCTTCAGCACACAGTGGGGTTTCACCTGTCCCTTCTTCACCCGTGACAGCGCTTCAGCACACAGTGGGGCTCCATAAATGCACTGAGGGTGTTTGTAAGGGTCAGCAATGCTCACAATGAATTCTAATTCTAATATTGAACAGAACACCGTTAGCTACTGAATGTGGGTTATTCTGCTGATTCATGGTTTCTCTAAAACTACTGACCCAGTGTCTCAGTTACTGCTGTAAAGAGATTCCATGGCCACAGCAACTCTGAGAAAAGAAAGCATTTAATTGGGCCTGGCTTACAGCTCAGAGGTTCAGTCCATTGTCATGAAGGCAGGAAGCATGGCGGGTGCCCAGACAGACATGGTGTTGGGGAAGGAGCCAAGAGTGCTACATCCAGATCTGCAGATGACAGGAAGAGAGAGGAACACTGGGACTAACCCGAGCTACTGAAACCGCAAAGCCACTGACACCCCCCTCCCCCCACGCCCCAGATCCACTTCTTCCGACAAGGCCACACCTACTCCCACGAGGCCACATCTGCAATAATGTCACTCCCTTGAGTCTATGAGGCCATTTGCATTCAAATCACCACGTTCCACAAATAGGCTTGTAGCTATATCATAACGCAAAATGCATTTAGTCCAACTTCAAAAGTCCTCATAATCTTTAATAGTATCAATCCTGTTTAAAAGTCCAAAGTCTCTTCTGGGATACATGACCATCTCTCAACTGTAATCTCCTATAAAATCCAAATTAAAAAGCAGATGACATACTTCCAACATACAGTGGCACAGGATATATGTTACCGTTCCAAGAGGAAGAAAAGGGAGCAAGAGAGGAAACACTGGACCAAAGCAAGACCCCAAATCATCAGGGCAAACTCCAAACTTGCATCTCCATGTCTGATGTCGAATTCTCTTCAGATCTCCAATTCCTTTTTTCCTTGTTGACTACAGCACACTTCTCCCCTTCGTCACGGAAAGAGATCCCACAACCCCTTTCTTCTATTCTTGACTCTAAAGCCAGAACCACATAGCTGAAGCCGCCGAGTTCTGTTGCCTTCTTGGGCTGAAACATGGTCCCCTCATTCAATGACATCTTCACCGACTTTCTGTGTTTGATGGTTTCCTTCACTGCCTAAACTTGACCATCCAGGAATCCAGTTTGTGGACTGGACTGGCCTCAAACTCAGAGACCTGAGAGCCTCTTACTTCTGAGTGCTGAGATTAAAGGTGTGCGGCACCGTGCCTGGCCCTAAGCTTTTATTTCATTCCTTTTTATAAATCGGAAGCTTAGCTGGGTGGGATCTTGCTCCGAGGTCACCACTCCCTTTATCTGACTTAGCTTCAGGCTTTTCTCCCATTTGTTCACACTTCCTGTTACCCTTCATGACTCAGACTGTAGATTCTGTATTTTTCCTTCCTTGACTTGCTCCTTTTCATTATTGATTTGCCCAAGTGTAGCTACCAAGACTGTTTGGACATCTCCTCTCCAAAGCTGTTAATCTACAACTCTTCAGTTTAGCCTCAGATAGATTTTTGGACGAGGGCTCAGTTGACTACAAAATGACCGGCTTGAAATACGTGACTATTTCTGTGGCTCTTGAACCTCTGGCCAAATAGCCACCCAGAACGGTTGTGCAGATCTGTTTCCTCAACCTAATGTTTGAGGAGGCCGCTTGTTGGTTCCTGGCTGCTCAGCCCTGAAATAATCACACAGAAACCATGTTATTTAAATCATTGCTTGGTCCATTAGCTCTAGCTTCTTATTGGCTAACTCTTACATATTAATTCAACCCATCTCCATTAATCTGTGCATCACCACTAGGTCATGGTCTACCAGCAAAGTTTTAGCATGTCTGTCTCTGGCAGTGGCTCCAAGGCTTCTCCTGACTCTGCCTCCCTTTTCCCAGCATTCAGCTTAGTTTTCCCTGCCTAGCTCTGTTCCCCTATCGCTCTGCTATAGGCCCAAAGCAGTTCCTTTATCTATCTATGGTAATCACAGCATACAGAGGGAAATCCCACATCAACCTAAGGCAGAAATGTGCTTGCTTCATCAGCCCTTACTCAATGTTAAAGGAATCTCTTATCTTAGGGCCAGCAAGAAAGCTCAGCAGGTATGAGCATTCATCTCCAGGCCTCATGATCTGGGTTACATGCCCAAGACCCACACAGTAAAAAGAGAAAAATCAGCTCCCACAAATTGTCCCCTGACCTCCCCCGACTGACACACAGTGGCAGGTGCACCCTCCATCCCCCCAATAAATGCACACAGTTAAAATTTCATTCTCTTAACCTCATAGATGAAAAATAAAGTGTCACTATTATTTTCCATTATGGTCCTTTGATTACTAGCAAATTGAAGAATTTTTCGGGAGCCAGGTTAGCGGCTATCACTTCTGGCAACGGTAGGTTCTACAGCTATTAATACGCGTGAGCTTTCTGCATGTAATTTCCTTTAAGCCTGGTGGCCCCGCTGCTCAGCAGAAGGCCGTGATGGATTAAGCAGCCCAAGCTCCGCCATATGTTTGGTGCTTATTATTGAGCCCAACTACTGAGCAAAGAAAGACATAATTAGCCTTTTTGGGAATTATTTTAAGCCTTCAGCAGTAAAAAGGCCTGAAGTTGATTTATTCCCCCAGAATCTATTTGTATTCGGTGCCTTTATAAAAAGTCTAGTCAGACTAAATGACCAGGCATGTTTTCAACCTTCGAAGACGGAATTTCTGGGTTCTAGGAGAGAGTCCAAAATAATCACTGGGGCACGTCTCTCAGATAGCAGTTGAAGACAAAAGATTGAATCGTTGGAAGGAGACAGAGCCACTGGGGCGTTCATAGAAACAATATGAGTTGAATTCGTCTCGAGTTCCCAGCGGTTGGGATGGAGGGGCTGATTTCTGCCTTGAGGAACCTTTGAGCTCTGCAGAGGGCTGAGCTTAGCCCCTGGTGCTGATGAGGAGCATTGGAGAATGCTCGGCCCTAGACACATCTCCTCCTTCGACTTTATCAGGAAAGCTGCTTCTGCCACTCATTACCCTAGGCAGGACTTGAATCTGGACTTCCCAAACAAAACACGCTGTCTGGTTCTGAAGCGATCTCACACATTGCCGGGCTTCCAGAAGCTCTGTTGTTCTCTGACAGGAATGGATTTCTACCCCAGAGGCCTCAGCCGCACATCATAATTCCCAGTCTTACCCTCTACTGAAATTGTTGTCTGGTTGATTGTGTTCGTCTGCGCCCTTAGTCATTGATGGCACATTTGGAGATAAAGTCCCGAGGTTGTCACGGGTCTGCACGTACTGACATAGTTCTCAAACGCAGAGATGACAAACACCGCGCAGATGTTCCCCAGGACAGTCACCCAGGCTGCTTTTGGCACTTTCACACACGAGCAACCAAACACATCGGCTCTGGAAATAGATACAGCAGGCTTGGGCTTCACTGACTCTTCCTTCCAAGCAGAAGTCGGGGGCTGAGATGAATCAAAACCAGGAGCTGGTTACTTTGAAAGATTACAGAATGTTAAACTGGTCCAAAATGGTTCCCATTCTAGCAAAAGTAGCCTACTGGGGGGAAGCCAGGGAGGAAGAATAGAAAAAGAACCCAGGGACATCCCTGGTGAGAGGGCCACCTGTTTTTAATGAGTCCTCAGGCAAATGTTCGTTGATTAGAATTCGCCTGTGCTGAATGAGTAACTGAGAGCCTACACACGTGAATGAAAGACTGGAACTTTTTACAGTTCTGTGTTGACTAGGTTTGAGTTGCAAGCTGCAGTAGTTAGCACTCCTGGCTCCGTGGCACGGAGCTCCCTTTAGGGGCTTAGCCCTGTGTTAAGTGTCCCCTTGCCTCTTCTGTAGGTCAGCACCATGAAAAGCAGTGTATTTTCCGCCTCCAATATATAGAGACTGAGGCTCAGGGAGGAAGACACAAAGGGGTGGAAGAACCAGGATTCAAGCCACAGGCTTCTGCCCTCAATTCACAACCTGGAAGTTGCTCAGCAATAATCACGCTCAGTGTGAGAGTCTCATCTTTTTGTGATCTTAGTTGTAATTCCCTCAGCCGCAGAATCTGCTGATACTCAATCTCGAAGGGGCCCAAATGATCACTCTGTGCAGGCTGCGGGTTCGGTTCTGCCCCATGCCCATGGTCCTTCCACTGGCTGGTCGAAGTGAGACCCAGGCAGCCAGGGACCTCGGGCGTGCCAGCTAACACCAGCCCAGCACTTTCCTGACGTTATCGCGGAGATGTAATCAAAACGGGAACCAAATGAGCTGAAATAATGAATTTTGGATCATTGCAGAGTTTCTAAAAATCACTTAAACTGGCACCGTGGAGGAATTATCCTCGTGTCTATGACTCCCACAGTAAAAATAGACATTAAGAGGACAGATGTGTGAGAGGCACTTTTCACTCAAAAACATCATTAGGATGGCGAGAACATGATGCACTTACTAATTGTGTGATGTCTTCGGAATATTTGAATACAGCATTAAAAACATCAATCCGTGTGCTGCCGGCAGGTTCCTGACAGCAGAGAAACTGATGATACAGCACTGGGTAAGGTTTGAGGTAAGAGTCATGGGTGACGCTAAACACGAGCGATCAATCTCCAACGCCTGCCGACCAGCCTCTCTGAACTATTTAAATGAGTCTCCCCTGCTCTCCATCCCTTTCCATCCTCCCCACCCTTCCTCCCTTCACTATTGCTTTGAAAGCTCCCAGCATTACGTTGTGGGACCAAGCCACTGCGTGGCCATTAGGCTATTCCCTCTGGTCTTGTACCTTACTTACAGCATCCTTTACACCTCTACAAAGCTCCGTCCAAGTTGCCCGTTCTTCCCCTGGAGACCCGTGTGGGCTCCTCAGAGATGAATGCTCCTTTGCTCCACCCTCTCCAATTCTTCTTCCTCATCTCCTTCCTCTCTATATTTCTCCTTTAATTTCCCAAATGCTAAGTTCACGAGGACTCATCATCTGGACACGACCATGCATGGAACTCTTGGCGGTTTGTCTGCAGTCACAAATTCTATGAGAAGATTAGGCAAGACTTCCAAGCCTCACACGGGTTCCGAGTGATATCCACGAAACCCATCGTTTGCACCCACAAGATACACCAAGCTCTAAAGTTTCAGGAGCTTATGAAATAGGTATAGCGCCCAGGAGAAAAGCTGTGAAGGAGCTCCTCAAATAGAATGTGAAAAATAAGTTGGGTGGTGGTGGTGCACGCCTTTAATCCCAGCACTCGGGAGGCAGAGGCAGGCGGATCTCTGTGAGTTCGAGGCCAGCCTGGTCTACAAGAGCTAGTTCCAGGACAGGCTCCAAAGCTGCAGAGAAACCCTGTCTTGAAAACTCAAAAAAACATATATATATCGTGACTCCTCCACCCTTCTAAGCTTTGCCGAATTTCTGTGAGGATGGCTAGAGTCGATCTGCTCACTGTAGTAAGCAAACAAGGCAGTGAACACAGAGCGTGTTTGTGAGGAAACTATGTAGCAAGCCACAGTGGCTGTCAATTTTGCCCCATAGAAAGCTCTACCACATAGTGGTCGCCAGATTAAATACAGGTTGCCTTTCGATCTCCTGTGTCTGGAATCCTTCCTCTCCAGCCATCCCACTTTCTTCTTCTTAAAAGATATCTCCTTGTCCACAGGAGTGTACATGTGCCCAGTTCTCTCATTCTAATACACTGTTCCCATATATATACACATACATACATACAGTGCAGCCAGGACTTCCAGATGAAAGTTTAACCTTTGGGTTTTGATTGCTAACTGGGAGTTTCTCGAAGCCACATTCCTTATCACAAGATAATGAGGTCCCCGAGGCAAAGGGAAGAAGAAATAGCAATGAACAGAAGGGACACAGACCACAGCAGCTTCAAGTCCCCATTTAGAGTTTCTGAGACCCTGGTTCCTTTAGCCTCTGTGCAACGCAGTATCCACCCCGCATGGGAGGGAACTGGCCCGGTCTTCCTTTCCAATTCATCAAGCTAACTTGAGCTGGTTTCCTGTCCCTTGCCACACTCAGAGGGCTCTGGTGCCAGGGTTTGCTGTTTCCTTAAGGGACATGCGTCGGATCAGGAGGGTTTTTAGGATCCTATGAACACCGTTTATCTACTCGCTCACTGGGAAATCATTTTGGCAAATGAGAACTTCGCTTCTTGTCTCTCTGGTCTTGGGTTATCTTCTCTGTACTTTCCAAGATCTTAAAGTCAAAGGCCTCATTTTATAAATGAAAACTGTCAACAAGAAGGAGTTGAGCAACTTGTTTTAAATCATATGGCATAAACCCAGGCTTTGAATCAATTATTATATATTGACGTTAGGGAAATTAATTTAATGCAAGTACAAGATACTAAAAAAAAATGAGGAAGACAATGTTTTATGTCAAAAAACCTAATCTAGTCAATAGGGGAATGTAAATGCTTGTATTGCTTTTATGATTATTGATTGTAGCAAATCACAGACTGGAAAGACTGTCTCCATGACTGTCTTGGCAGTCACAACCCTGGTCATCTTTCTTCCCTGTCACTTTCTGAAGCACGGGTCACTAGGCTGAGACTAGGAGCCAGTCTTCCCAGTCATAGAGATGGATCCAGGAGTGAGTGGCTCGTGGCCTTGTAAAGGACTAACCAGAGATGGCCCGGCAATGAATTAGGTGCTTTGCTGAGATTTGCTGCTGTCAGATGTGGCGAGGAACGCTT